AAACCGTACAACGAGCCGACACGACTTTCACGACCGACCAATGCGATTCTGGCAGACGGAGGTGTTGGCCAACTTGTAAAGCGACTGCTTCGAAAGCGTCGCCATCGGCAACGTACGTAATTTCTTGTGGAGTGGGCGGGTGAAGAGGAGCCTACCTGGAAAACATTAACCAAGTTCCTGGTTTGATTGCAGCATTTGAAGCGAACCGACGTTTGAAGCGGCGAAAACGAACCAAGGAACAATGAAAAGGGGGCTCAAGGCCTACATGTATTGAAGCTCATGCCTGTCCTAGTTTCGGCAAAGCTTCAGTTTCTTGCGCGATCGCTGTTTCTTCGACACCTTCGACTTTTTCGACTTCTTCGGCGTCATGGAAACCTCAGCAGCAATGCGATAGACGGCGTAGACACGCTTGAGCCAATCCAACTTGCAGACAGGTTCCAACGAACACGGCGGATCTGCAGATTCGTTGTAATCGTCGAAGATCATCACCGAGAACTCCTGTTTCGCAGGATCATGATTAACCACAAGCGCGAAGCAGTGTTCGACGTAGTGCTGAGCCGCATGGACGATGTAGGAGCCATCCGGAAACTGGGGTGCCTTGCGTTTCAGCTCAGCCACGATCATCATCGAGAACTTCTGTACCTTCTTGAACAGTTGAAGATAATCCAGCGGGACTCCTTCCGCACGGATGAAGTTGAAAAACGCGTCAATCTTACGCGTGAACGCGCCGTTGGGGAAACCCTTCTTCTGGGCACGGCAGAAGCGGTTCCAGTGTCCACTGTTAACCAGGCCGTCCTGCACAAGCCCGTAGCAAGCCGCTTGGAACGAGTTCAGAAAGCGCAAGTTCGTCTCCGATGTCCCAGCTCCGCGGAAGTGACGATCAAAGTATTGTAAAACGGAATATGCTTGAAGGAGTTAATCCACGCGTTCACCTGGTTCATACACCATTAGACATCCTTCAAGTTCTCAGGCCACTCCCATGTCAGCTGAACACCCTCCGTCTCCCATTCAACCAAGAATGCAACGTGTGGTAGCTCACCATAGTGATCGATGAGAAGACGCACTTGCCATACCTGATCTGGGTCGAACGGGGCATTGGCCTTGTAGCAAA